TTCTACTTACTGAATTCGTATTTCCAATCGAAAAAATTCATTTATTCTTTTATTCGCCAATCAAAAGGATTAGCAATTTATTGTTTTTTGTTGCTTTGAAATTGTAAAGATCATACATCTGATGGATATCTTCAAGAAAGAACAAAGCATGACGAAGAGAAAAACAAAAGATTAATTCCTGATTATTATATTTATCGTCTTATATTTATTTTTATTCACCTATTTATAAATACGTGCATAGAATCGCAATGATAAAAACATGAATCTTTTTCATTTCTTTTGCAAAGTTATTTAATAGAGACAATTTTGATTCCGAAATTAATTCATTATCCACACGCGAATCAATTTTTGATATAAGTAACGATTCATTTTTGCAAATTGGAATTGATCGATCACGGCAGTTGTACAAACAGAAAATCGCTTCGAAGAGAAAGCGAGATTCTTAAAAACAATCGATTCGTCGTCTGATGTGAGATCACGAGATGATTCAATGAAATTGCATTTCGATCGGAAGTATGGTTGTCACGAGGCAATGGCGAAACGCACTCCATGATCGAATTGCCGAAAGTCGTTCTCGTTCCGAATTGTCCATATCGAGTAAAGCTTTACATATGAGATTTACGAATAAACAAACTTACGTTGTGTAGTTTATAGTAGAGACCGCATGCATTACACACTGGCTCGCCGTTGTTATTTCGTCGCCACAGGGTCGTATTGCTCGTCCTACAATTCGCGCATTGAACACCGGTTCTTCGTACACCCGACTGGAAAATGAAAGGGAAATATATGCATTTCGTGCGTAATATTCTCGATCGTATGCGCATCAGTATTGCGCATTCAACGACGCGAATTCACAAACGCGAAAATGGGAGCGTTCGAGACGTAGAAACTAGAGTAAACAACAATCGCAGTAAGTCTCGACGCGATTGTTTGCTCGGTAACAGATAACGTTGATTCTTTTTTCTATTTTTTCGCGGACAACGCTTGCCAAGAAATGGGAAGAAGAAAGAACAGAAGAAAAAGTAACGAGAAAAAAGAGAGAGCGAGAGAGAAAGAGATGAAAATGTAGAAGGTTAAAAAAAAAGGATGAAGAGAGATGGGAGATTAAATGAAAAATTCAGGTGAAAAGAAAAAGAATAAGACGTGCTCGAGAGAAAAATATAAAAAATGAAATTTACCGTAGCGACAGCTTGCTTCGGTTTGCCGCATTTAATGGATGATCTATTTATACCGTTTATCTTGTTTGTTGTATAGGCACAATTTTGACACAAGTAATTTCCAGCTTCGTCCCTCCTTAATATAGTAGTCAAAATTGCGCAATTAGAACACTCTTTAGGATCCACAGTCATTATCGGTCCCTCGAAATTTTCCTCGGTATTGGATAGCGATAGATTGTTAGACCATGAAGACGTAGTGTTTCCAGTTGACACACTGTATACACCGCCAGAATAGAGTATATTAGTATCGCCAACGGAAATTGCCGTTTGGTATCCCTGGACGCAATCGAATGTAGGTGGAGACGGAGTTCCTGCGGTCGACCAATAATCGGCTGAAGGAGTCACTTTGGTATATGGATACGTACTAGTCCCGCTTCCGTATGTCATTTGAGATCCTGGAGATCCTGGTTGTTCGTAATGCAGAGATGCTACTCCACGCGTACTTCCCAACGAAGATGCTAACGTTGGGTCACCTTTCATATATGTGCTCCCTGATTCTACCTGTGAACAAAACGCATGCGCGTTAATGTAACAATGGCGTATTATATACAAAGAAAAATTATAGTCTATATATAGAAAAAATTCATAAATAAAATATTTATTTTTTGTTTAATTAAAAAACAATAATTCATTTTATTTTTCATTTTTCGTTATTTAAACACTGACTATATAAATAACATAGCTACTTACCCCAGGAACGCGCGAGGGCAACTGAACTGGTGACGGATACGTTAGAATCACTTGTTCCCCTGGTTTTGTATAAGTATAAGTTGGAGCTTGCTGAAACGTCTCACTACCGGATATATACTGAGGATATTGAACAGCCTGCGTGGGAGGAATCGGTACCGTTTCGAGAGTAGTGTATGTGTTCGATATTTTGATGTTGTCGACTGGAATCGCAGCAGTAGCCGCTGCTACTACTGCAGTGTTTGATGTTTCCGGTGTTTCGTACTTGATATTTACTCCTCCAGCGTTCACATATCCTGCGACAAGTTGATGATGATGCTGACCAGTTGATTGTTGAAGTCCAGCACTTGCTCGAATACCGATGTCATTCATTGGCGGAGAATAAGAGGGCGCTGTAGGAGAATCGAGTCTTACGGTAACGGTTGTCCCCGCATGAGAAACTATGGGGGCGCCACCCTCGTACTCCTCGCTAGTTGGAACTAGGACTGGTGAGCCTTGATGATAGGATCTACCGGTTGATCCATTTCCGTCACCGGATTGGTTAGTTTCTCGTGGACTATATCTTTGATGATTGGCCGATTGGACAACTCGCCTTTCCTGCGCTTGAACAGCGATCCCATGGTTCTCTCTTTGCAATTGTTGGTTATCCGCCGGATAAGCGTACATACGATCCGCATCTGTCCCATCGGATTCTGATGTCTCATACCTTTGAGTGTATCATTTGTACTTATTGCATTATCGATAAAGATCCAGAAAAAAAGGAATTAACATAAGCTGTGATGTGAATAATTGCGTATACTCGTATAAAATATATTTTTTTGTATTTTTTAAATAATATCAATTTATTTCCTCGTCACTTAATATATTTCGGATTATCGATTTTCACTTACCTTAGTAGTTTAACAGTGTCTTTCATTGTCAATATAGACGGATCTGCTATGACTCGCACTCCGTGTTCGTTGTTCGTCAAATAAACTATACGTTGCTCTCGAGAACGATCCTGTTGTTGAATTTCCGCCTCGGTGTGAGAAATTTGCACATAGCTCTGCGAATTTTGTTTGCATGCTTGATCTTGCTGCTGTTCTTCTTGAAACGTGCGCGATCGAGTTTGCTGTCCTTGTTCATCCATCGATCGATGATGTTGCTGTTGCTGCTGCGATTGGAGATTATCGGGTGAGTCTGGTTCCGGATCAACCACTGTCTCGGTTATATGACCAGCCGTGGTGATGGTGCGCACGTGCCTTCTCGCTGTGATCACCGTCCGGGGACTCTCGACGGATTGTTCATCTGGATTTGTCCCAACCATGGCTATCCTGGGCGAACCTTCATCCACGCTGTTTTCCTCCCATTCGCGCTTGATCTCTTGTTTCGTCAACGTCTCCTTCATTGCGATCTGTAACACGAAGTACACGATCTTTCGACAATCGGAAAAGGATTGTCGTGGATGGAAAAGCAGAGAAGGTGGAGCAGAGACCTTATGGCACGCGACTCGATCGCGTTTCGGCCAGATAACTCGAGTTGGAGCGAGTGCGAGTGCAAAGTGACAATTGTTTCTGTCGGAATCTCGAGGAACGTCGAAGAAAAGAACGGAAGAGAATGGTTCGACACAGGAAGAAGCGGGGAAAGGAGAGGACGGCGCGCCTCGTCCGTCTGGAGAAAAAACCGGCAAACTCGGTGTTTACCTGTGACTCGCGTCACACTTCCCTTTGACAATGTCAAGTTTCGACTTCCGGACCGAGCACGCGACCATACTCCACTCACTCTTTCCTTTCAAACCGACGGCAAGCAATCTTTTTACTCCTGACAACATTTATCGCGAGTTCAGTTTCTTTCAGATCATTTTCTACGAACAAGATTTTTTTATGTGCAGAAAATTAAAAAAATGCGGAAAATTCCAATTTGAATGCTAATAACCTCATAGGATTCACTGGTTTATTCGATCATCAAAGTTAAGACCGCAATTAATATTTGGATCGTTTAGAGACGGTTCGTACTTGATCAAATTTTCAATACTATCCGATTTTAAATTTTGATAATAAAAACTGTAATTTTATAGAATCTAAATATCATTCCAAATAACAAGTAATCAATTGGATTTAAAAATTACATTAAAAAAAAATTGTTCGATCTTAAATAAACCCAGATATTAACATAAACAGTCAGCTGATTAGGAATTACAGTCAATACACAACAATCTGAATAAAAAACCCCGAATTCCAACGATCTTTTCCTACCTTCGAAGGGTGGCGAGTGAAAAATCCGGTTCGTACTACGTTCGATCCTGACACGCTGTCCAGCCTGTGATTATTCAACGCGCACTGCACAATCCTCCTCTATAATCTATAATCCAGAAAAATAGTCGAAAACTCACTGTGCGTCCGCTCGAAACGAATTTCCTACACGGAGCAGAATACACGAGCGAAGCGGCGCCACCGTGCAGAGCAAAAGTTACTACGTTTTTCCCTCTTTTGACGGAAAAACTAAAACGAGAAAGAGAGAAAGAAAGAGAGAGAGAGAGAGAGAGGAAAGGGAAAAGAATCTCTCTCCAGCTATCGAGTGGAAAAGAGGCAAACGGAGGGGTCCGTTTGTTTGTTCGTCGATAACGAGCGGCCGCTTGCTAGCTCACGAGCGAGATAACAAGCTGTCACGGGGGTGGGGGAGGGAGGGGATCGCGAGAGGTGTCCATGCCTCCCCTTTCGCCCCTTCGTCTACGTTCTCGTCGGCCATCTTCGCCATTTTGTTGCCACGGATTCTCCGTGAGTACTTTACGCTCCGTGCTCGGTGTGTATATTCGGTGCTGGTAGGGTAGCAACGGTGTGAATCATTCGCACCCGCTTTTTATCTTCGCTTCTCTCGCTCTCTCTCTCTCTCTCTCTCTCTCTCTCTCTCTCTCTTTCTCTCTCTCTCTCTCTCCTTCCTCCTTATTCGTTCTTCATTGAGGATGAAACGGATCGGATTACGATAGGCTGTTTTTCCTGCCTTGCAATCCTTCGAATCTTCGAATTTTTGGCGAGACTCGATCGTCATCGCGAAAATCACACCCACTTTTTATCTTTGCCTCTTTCTCCCACCCTTTCTTCTTTTTTCGAAGAATATTATCTGTGCAGAAATCTACACAGTGATTTTTAACGTACTGCATGTACACGTTAGTGGCAATGTCTAATTATCGGCCGACTTTCTACATTATGTCTGCATTAACAGATCGTTATTTTCTGACTAATCCATTCATTATAGTTCCCGTTCGTTTCGCAATTTAAGAAACGAAGAAAATATAGAAAATATATACGAGTCTATTTCTAGAAAAAGATTTCTAGGGAAAAAATGTTTGAAAAACGATCGATAAAGAACGAACTAATTCGAGCATTCGAAGCTAATTTTCGTCAAGAAAGTTTTTCGATCATCGTCCATCGTAGATAATGAACGAGGCCGTTATTACGTCACCGATTCTCGCTCTGATTCATCTTCGCAAACGAAGCGTCATCGTGAAGGTAACGCGAGAAAGTAACCAAGAGGGCTCCATCCGCTTAAGAATCGGAAACAGGGCAAGAGAAAGAATCTTTGCAAAACCTTTCATCTCTTCGTTCAATCCGACGTACTACGTGACGGGAATCGTCTTTGATATGGATTAATCGTGATAAAAATCAAAAACTGTGACCGATGTGCTCGTCCCATATGCTCTTCGTTCACCAATCGCGATCGATAAGACGGCTGAAAAACAATTTCTCTCTTTTTCCCCTCGTTTCCCTCGCTCGATCGAAAAACCTATTCGAAAAGCATGATTCCTCTTCAACCGTTTCGATCGCTAAAAAGCGAACAATTTTTCGATTTTTCTTTACTTTTTTCAAAATTTAAATTCTTCCTCAATTTCGAGCTATCGAAAGCTATTCGAAATTTCTATCCGATCTCTCGAGTTATATTATTTTCGACCATCGATGTCCAACGAAGATGCGAAATTTTCCGCGCGCGAGCGGAGGCGCACAACGATTCATCGATCTTCTTCGTCACGTATCTAGGATCGTATCGGGAAAAAAAACGTATTGTTTATCAAGAGAACGAAGGAAATATAGATTGCTTCGCGGTATATCGTTGATAACGAACGATAAGAAATCGACGAAGTCACGTTCTCTACTCTCTCGAAAACCGATCGATCAAAGAGCAACCACGTCCACGATCGAGTACGAAAACGAGCGTCCAACAGGAGTTTTCGCGCTTCTAAAGACAGATCTTCGAGCAAGGGTACAGAAATGCGTGGAGAATAAGAACGAGGAAGAAAGAGATGGACGAGCATCAGCTAAAAAATACGGATGCACGCGGATCGACACGGATCGCGTGGATGTCTCGCGTGGCCACCGATGGGGATGTCTTCGTCGAGCCATCGGCGAGAGGTACGCCGTTGTCAAAATAAACGGCACTATCGCGATTTATCTCGTTTCCCATGATAATAAGAGATAAAACTGCATCCTTACATTAGCTAGTATATCAGCTAAAATGATAATTTCAGTCGTCGGGTTCGCCAGGAAGGCGTAGGGCCGTTTCTCTAGTTCCGCGGCCCGAGTATTCGCGGGGACGCGCTCGAAGACCGCGCGACGCTCCATCCCTCCGAGCACGAGTAAAATGATTCGGGCCGACTCGAGCCGAACGATCGATTCGCGACTTCGTTCTCGAAATCCGAATACCGACGGTTGAGAATCGAGCGGATTTTCTGCGTGTCCTGCGAAACCGCGATCCGAGCGAGAGAATCGAGTGAAAACTTGCGGCCAAGTGTTGGAGAAGGGACAACCTTCGCGAAGAGATTAAGGTGAAACGAAAAAAATCACGGAGTGATTCATCCGATCGGGGGATAAGGCGAAAGAAGAGGTGTCTCCTTCCTCCGATTGCTTTTCGATTTTTTCCTTTTTTCTTTTTTGTGGAATGACCGAAAGGGTTGCGTCAGAATCGCGAACACGGCGAGGCCATTTTCTTTATCAGTAGGAAATTCTTATCGGCGTAAATGAAAATCCCAGATGAGCTGGTATGGGTGCGTACGTGTCAAGCTAAACACGATATCGAAAAGACAGGCGGCGATCACCGTAAGAAATGACATTTTTTCTTCTTCTTCTTCTTCGTTCGAAGGTAGCGCATGCGCACGCGTCAAGGGATGACGCGTATCCGTCATCCACGCTTCGTTACGCAACCCGTTCTTCCCCGAATCCGGGACTGGTAATTTTCCATCCTCCTCGATTCAATTCGCAATTAGAATCGGAAGATATTTCGAGGCTGTTCGTTAAGATTCTACCTGTCTGCGAAGAGAATGAGTTTGACTATGGATTTAAACGTCGCGCTCTCCTCTCGAATCGCGAGCACCGCCTTAAAGCTCTTTACGATACGATAACGCGATCCATCGGCCCGATTCTGTTGCGCGCGATCGCGCCTCTTTACAACGCAATTATCGTAATAATTTACAACGCGCGAACATTCTGTGGCTTTCCGCGAATAAACAATCCACCTCCTCTCCGTGTAGTACTGTCGTAGGAACAATCATCTTTCCATAAAATAAAGCTAAGATTTCTTAGAGAGAATTAGGCACAATTGGTTGAACGTAATTTTTCGTAGTTGTTCGACCTACTATGTTTCGAGTCACTCGTATTTAAAATACTCGTATTTATACGAAATGGCATTTTGAACGAATGAATCTGGACGAAATTTAACGCGCGAGACTCTCCGAGAGTCGAGAAAGGGTTGCACGTTTCGAGGGAAAACGACGAAGCGCGATCTGCTCGACCGATTACGCGACTCTCGAGTCCAATAATTAACGCCACGCACGACAAACAGCATTATCGTCATTGCCCGATATTATTCCATTATCTTACCACAGCTATGTGCTTAACGATTAATAAAATATCTGTGCACAGGGGTATCTCTCGTCTGGATATCGTATAGTTTCGCGGTAGACTTCGTCGAGATGGTTGTGGCACGCGACACTTATATGTATATACATATTGTATATATATATATATGTGTGTCTGTGTATATTGGACGAAACGAAAAAAGTGAACCGCAAAATAATTTGAATTCGTTGAAACGATCGTATACTCTCGAATCTTGGGGGAAAAAACGGTCGGGGTTTGCACGAGACGAATAAAACTGATCGAGGTACGAAAAGAGAAGATCGCGGCTCATGGTCCATCCACAAGTGTTGTCGAACGTAAAACACAAGTGTTTCTGTTTCGTTTGTTCGTTCGTTCGTCCGTGCACGCGCTACCGAACAACCGAGCTACCATACGTCTTTCCAAATATCGGCTTGCCTTGACTCAACGCGTCGCGCCCTACCTCGTCTTGCCACGACTCGTTTCGTCTCGACACCTCCGTGTCGCGATACAACGCCCCATGCATCATACCACACCGTCCTTCGTTTCCAATTCTTCCGCTCTTCCTCTTTACGTGCTCCCTTCGTCGCCTTTTCTCTCCCAATTTCTCACCATCTTATGGATAAACGATGAAATAAATCGATTCTGTTATTTATACTTTTTTTTTCGCGACTTTTCATTTCGATATCTTATTTTCATATTTTCATCACACCGATAAATTTGCGATATTAAAGAATACTCTCTCTGAGAGACGATAAAATAAATTGATTAAAAGGAAAAGAGAGAAAGAGAAAGAATTCCAACGAGAGGTAAAGAAGAGTGTGAAGAGCGAGAAAAAAAGTGAACGAATCGAAGCGGGAAAATTAAAAGATCGAGAAATACTTACCGTGACAGGAGAACGAGGTGAACCGTTTCGCATCGAACGTGATGATTTCCGTAGGATTCAAGTTTTTTTGGCCGCGATATCGAGGAACGTGAATGCGATTTGTGTCGCGTCGACGGTCGACAATCGACTCGCAGACGCGGTTACGATTCGAGAGCGAAGGTGGCGAGAGAGCGCGGCGCGCGGCTTGACACAGGTGCGCTGCCAAGGTGTGTCGACGGGATTCGGGCCGGCTGCCGCCTGGTAGCGTCGTACCGAAGCTTTTCGATTCGAGTTTAAGGGAGAGAGGGAAAGCACGCGCGACGCGAACGTGAACGCATTAAATATTGACCGAATACGCGATTAGACGAACGCCAGGCAAACCTGATCGCCTCTTCATCCTCCTGTCAACTTATCGATCGTTTTCGCCTCCCTTTCGCTGCCATCTTGGTATCGCACGATCCCCCATTTTACACACCTTCATTGGAAAACGTACAAATAGAAAATCATTTTAAAGAGTCGCTCTTTTTTCTTTTTCTCTTCTCTTCTTTTTTAAAATGGTCTCTCACCATGATGAGAAAAAATGAACGGGAAAAAGAGAGGAAAGAAGTTGGGAATTTATTACTCTTTACCCCCCTTTTTTCTTGCTCGACGTCGGAAAGGTATAGGTTTACATCTAAAGCTACGGTGAACAAGTATATACATATGTACATATATATACATATATACATATGTATATATATATAGTGCGTACATAGGAAAGAGAAAGAAAGAGGGAATGAGCATGCGTCGTGTTATCGTTGAAAACAGCGGGAGAAGAGGGAAGCTCGAGTCAAGAGAAGAGGGTGTCGTCATTGCAGAGCACACACGCGGGATTCCTTCGATAAGACTTGGGACACTCAGGTGAGGAGACACGGTCGTAAGAGCAAAGCTTATTGAGGACTCGAAATTCGAACAATTCGTTTGCGTATAATGCAATTCTTTTGCAAATGCAAAAATATCACTCGTGTCTAAGTATCTCCATAACCTTTAAAAGTAGGGATGCGCCAATTCGAAATGCGCGCGAAATGCAATGGCTTCCTCGCGCATTACTCGCTTCGTTTCCCCCTCGATTACGCCAATGAGGGGACGCGACCGCCCGTTCTGTCGTCCCAACCTTTAACCGAGATTAGTCGAGATATCGCGGCCGTTATCGCCGAAAATACACAAGGATGAAGTTTTCCTGCACGTTCACCGACTTCTCTCTGCCAGCTGGTCCGAGTGTCGGTTGCGTTCTCGTGGCCATGCTCGCCTTTACTTCCTTCCTTTTCCTCGCGCGCACTGCTTACAATATTTATTCGTTACACGCTCGACACCTCTCTCACCATCGAAGAAGAATCCCTCCCTTTCGACTTAGTGAGTAGACGAGTATTTTGACACCGAAAAAAAAAAATATCGTAAATTTCTTTGTAAACGTTCGAACTCTTAATTCCTCTTCGTATTTTATTCCGTTCGTCGTTCGCTATGATCGTCGTTGTTGGCGAAAGATGAAACGAGGTTATAATTTCATATTCCTAGAATAAATAATACGTAATTTACGCAAGTCAAATATTCTCATTTTCATTTTATCGCGGCTGGTTTCGTTATAAATGTTCTTCGATATTTCCGATTTAAATATCCCTTTTTATTTAAAAATTACCGATTCGATACAACACACTTTGAAGATAATAAGAACATGTTGGGCCTTATGCGTAATCCTCGACTCGCTGGACGTGCTCTCTGTCCGCGCAAACGTTTATTGCTGACCACGATCACAATTTTGTTATCGAAAGCGCTTTCGTTCCCGCCGTCCTAGTCATTGTCATCGTCTTTGTCATAGTCATCGTCACCGCTCTTATCGGTAAACGCTATAAAATTATAATGTTATGCATCGTATCGTTTATATAGATCGTAGCATTCGAATGTGTGGAACGACACTGAACAGCGTAGGTCGTTGTAACGCTACAATTAGACCGAAAAAGATAACGATTATTACTAATATTTTCAAGTATTTTCGACTCGAACCGCGCGCACCACATTTCGAATCGAAATTTATCGTTTTTTTTTTTTTTTTGTTTAATAATATTATTGCCTATTTACAAGTACAACGGAAAAATAATAATCGGCGATCGAATATCATTTGGACAATTTCATTCATCGATCGTCCCTCGAATTGAAACGTGCGCGTAAAAATAAACAAGTACAACCGAATCTTTCTAAAAACAAGGTTCGCCCCCACGTGTCGTATTGCTCACGCATGCACACTTTTTCAAAACTATTTACAACGAGTTTTTTTTTTCGCAAAATCATGAATAATCGATACTTAAAAAACCTCTGGTATTATCCTCCCCTTTTATCAGTCCCGTTCGTCGAACGTACAGGAGGCTCCAGTCTTTTCATTTCATTTCTTAGCAAGGTTCATCCTCGCTACTTTATCCTTATATATATATATATATATATATATTCATCATCGTTATTACCTTTTTCTTCGCTTGTCCTCTTATTCTTCGAAGAACAAACGCGTGCGAGAAGAAGAATGACATAAAGAGAAGAAAGAATAAAAAGAAAAAGATTATACGCGAGTTTAATAAATCAATCGTAAATCAATCGATAAGTTTTAAGAATGAAGAGAAACAAAAAAAAAAAATCGTCACGTTTCTTCTCCTTTTTTCATTCTTCGTTTCATTCTCTCTTTCAACGCATAATTCGATAACGCTTTGAAAAGTAACGCCGCCCGTGTACGCAAAAGAGAAACAACGCTCCTCCTCCCTTTTTGAGAAAATCAAAGCGAATCAAAAAAAATCGTTGAAACAAAGAAAGAAATGACGCGTTCTCTTTCGCGTTTTTTTTTTTTTTTTCTTTTTTTGTACTTATTTTTCACTGATTAACAACGAATTTTTCCATCCACGGACGACTTCAATTTTGTCGTGGACAAAAGTCGGTCTCGCGAGACGACGGACGGTCTGTCTAGATGGCCGTTGTCGAGGATAATTTTAGTTGCAGCCGTACTTGGCGAGGAATTTCCAAGTGTAACGATGTGCGGGGATGGAAGCTGATGATGATCGGGCGAATGGCTCGCGGATATCATAACAGGGGATCGATTCGCGCACGGCGGTGACGGGCACTCGACTTTCGGTGAGTGAGTCTCGAGAAGTTGCGGATGTTGATGATGTTGGTGCTGTTGCTGCTGTTGCTGTTGTTGTTGCTGCTGCTGTTGCTGTTGTTGTTGCTGTTGTTGAGAAACGATCATATCGTAGTACATTCCAGAGGGCGCAGACTGATAGGAAACGATCTGGGTGGCCGATTGAGGGCTTCCATAAAGGCTGCTTCCGTAGCTCACCTGGGGCATTCCGGCGTGGCTCATCCTCAGCTCGCCATACGTGTCTGTGCAAATGTTGAAACGCGTAAGTGTAAACGTGAAATCAACGCTTGCTACATGGATCGAATCGTTGTGGATGGGTTACAATAAATAAAAGATGGACCAGTGGTTCTCAACCTGTGAGTCAGTGCGATTCGAAAAGAGTCGTTTTTTTCTCTCAAAATGATTGCATCCTTCTCCGTGTTAAAAATAATATAAAAAGTATAATAATATAAAAAATATGTAAAGTATAATAATATAAAAAATAATATAAAAAGTTTTATGAGAACAATTATCGCAAGTTATATTATTTGAAATGAGAAGGTTCGCAATTGAAAAAGGTTGAGAAATACTGGCCTTGTAAGACCTACCGATCTCATTGGAATTCGTACCAGGTTCTAATTTTAAGCTATTGTTGTTGTTGTTATTGTTATTGTTGTTGTTGTTGTTGTTGTTGTTGGCCGTGGTGATGGTCGTGTTGTTATTGCTCACTCCCGCGACATTCCCGGCGATCGGCGTGTCGCTAGATTTCATTCCTCCCTTTGGTTTCCTCTTTCGCGTCTGAATGCTGTCTTTCTTCATAGTGTGAGGCCTGTTCACTCCGTGCAATTTGAAATAAAGGCCGCACGCGTTGCAAACAGGCTCGCCCAAAGTGTTTCGACGCCATAACGACGTCATCGTCGTTTGACAATTACTGCAAGAAGTGCCTACTCGTCTTGAAGCGGACTGCGGACACATGAAATCTCGTTAAAAACCGTGTTTACGATTCTGTTTATACTACGGGCGACGTTTGGACAAAAATAAGAAGGCTGGAGAAAAGAGGAAGAGGAGGGAGAGGAGAGGGAGGAGGGGAAGGAGAAGGAGAGGTGGCAAAGAGGGAGAGCAACAGAAATGAACAGGTAAAGGACAAACCGGGAAACGAGCCAATTTTTTCCGACTCCTTTCCGACAGAGATGATAGAATGGGATGATAGAGGGCGGATTCAATGAAAATAAGCAAAATAAATAGGAGAAATAGGAACAGAGACGGATGAAACAGAGGAAAAAAAGTCTTACGTCTACCGTAACTTATGATCGAATTAAGCTCAAACGTTGACTCGTGCGCAGCGACCGCGACGCGTTCAACGGTGTCGCGCTCGCGCGCGCGAGACAACGTGATTGGCTAAAACTCCCCGCGCGAAATCACGCGAGCCTGTCACTAAACTTGACGAATAAAAAGTCGCCGAGTATCGAGACGAGAAGAAATTGTTGATTTTTCTTCCGTTTTTTTTTTCTTTTTCTTTCTTTTTTTTTCTTTTTTTTTCTTTTTTTTTTTTTTTTTTTTTCTTTTTAATCTATATTGTTACTACCAGGCTACGCAAGATTTCGAAACGGAGCACGATTGTACCATGGGCATAGTGGCACCTCGAAGCTATAAATTAATTTTCAACCGGTAATCGTTTTCTACTTGCGAGCTACGATGGAAAATAGACGTCGTTTTTCTCTATTTGAATCGTCGAGAAAAATGCATCGAATTTAAGCGGACAATGGAAAAAAGAATAAGCGTACGATGAAAAGTGATCGAAAATAGATCGATGAAACATGAATAAAAGTAGTTGTGGTCGGAATAAGAGAAATAAAATAGGAGGAGAGGAATATTTCAATCTGCGAATAGCGATCGACAGGAGCTAACGATATATAGAGAGAGAAAGAGAGAGAGAGAGAGAGAGAGAGAGAGAGAGAGAGAGAGAGAGAGAGAGAAAGAGAAGATATGCACGAGTGAGCGATCGAGTGAGTGAGTAAATGAATGAATGTGTTGGGGGATGACACCTACCAAACGCCGGCTCGATTTCTCCTCGAAGGCGCGACGGGTGCCACTATACACACAGAAGCCTTTGTAGAAATCGCCCTGGTCCGCCACTGAAACAGAGACAGGATGCCAAACGTTAAGGGTGCTTCTACTCGTATCGCGTGCGCGCCTAAAATTCGCGCATCGAGTCCTTTTCCACTTTTTTAAACATCGACACAAATCCGCTGGCATACGATTCCGGTGTCTGCATACCATCGTCTGTAAATTGCGAAAACGTTTGCAACAAATGCGGAACGAACGCGAATATTCGTTCGAATCGCGCGATATCTACCGAACTGTTGTCCCAATCATGTGCTAAATCACGAATGGCATGGATCACAAGCCCAATTTGGACACGGGCGAATTTCCACATAGGCTCCTGTTGTTCTATATACACGCGTATCTCTGCGCACGCGCATCTATACTCTCCTCAGACCGACCTTTCTCCTTTCCCTTTTTTGTTCATCTTTCTCTCTTCCTTCGTCTCCTTATTGCTCCTTATAACGGACAAGGAGAGAAAATCGTTCCGAGAGAGAGAAATAGACAAAGAAAAAGAAAGCGGAAAACGGCTTTAACACCAAGCATATGTCCGCGCTTTCAATGAAAATTCGCCGATCATACACGATTGCTTAGTTGTTCCGTTCCTTCCTTCCTTCTTTCCTTATTTTCTTCCTTCCTTCCTTACCAATCGCCGTGGCTGCTTCACCAAAGGTCGATTCATTCCATTCATCTTGTGGTAAAGACCGCACGCGTTGCACAGGTAGTGGCCCGTACCGTCTCGTCGCCATAACGGAGTGGAAATTGCGCCGCAATTTACACACTCGCGGCCCTCGGTAAAGTATTCCGCCTCGATGTTGTGCACTGCGCGATTTGTATATTTTCAAAATGGAATCCACATACGTGTGAAAGCGCAAACGATTTTCCCTTTCAAAAAGTAAATCATTGGGAAATATTTCGAAACAGTAGGAATTTCACCACGTGCAAACGTGAAAGTGAAACGAAGAAAAACGGGGTGACGGGAGAAGGAAGGAAAGAAAGAAAATATGAAAGGAAACGACGGGAGGGACAGGATGCAAAAATATACGTGCACGCTTGCTTCGTTTTGTTATTTTCGATCGTGAAAACTCGCGACATTCGAATGCCTGTCGGAAAATGACCATTCAGTGAAAGTGAAAAATGCCTCGAGCAAATCATGCATCATTTCGAAACTATTTCACGCGACAACGCATCGATATGTCACGAACAAACGAATTACCGTCTAATTAGTAATTTTCATTTTGTATCTTTCCAATGCCTCAAGATGATTCCTAACCAATGGGACGAGCAAATAAAACACGCGAACGTGACAAATGAAAATTTTACAAAAAAAAAAAAACTTTCGTGCATAATAATATTTAATCGAACAATTTATAATTTTTTAATTTTATAATTTATAAATTTTCTTTCGATTTCACTTTCGAAACATACCTGATATTCGTCGATTCATCGTCGATCAAATAGAAGACACGTGGTACAAAAATAGAAAATCTAACGCAAATTATGTTCGTACAAAAGAAAGGATACAGGAAACGAAATAATGCACAAAAAAGGATGTAAAGGGATATGGCGTTATCAGAATTTCCGGTGTTTCTCGATAATAATAACTAGCAGTTGTTGCTAGTACGCATGTCAAGTGCCACGCGTATGCCATCGTATATTCGTTTCACGATCGTTTTCACGATCATTTTTTTAAAAATACGAATTTGCAAATTACATTCGCGATCAATTTTAATGAAACAAGTATATTAGTTGTATATTATATTTGTACATTATCTTCGACGCGCCTTGATCTCGTGTTACTCCACAAGAGAGCAATATCGAAACAGAGAGAGGACGAAAAGGTCGGCGTACCGTAGTCGCACATCCGGCAGAAACGAGACTGGGAAGCAATCGGATATCGTATATTAGTAAGCAAAGAGTAGCTGACGTCGGCGTCCATCTTACGATCTCTAACCGTTCAACGATACGACACCATCGTGAAACCGACGAAGAAAGAGAGACAGCGTAGAGCGAGAAGAACCGTGAATACGAACAGCGTGGAAAGAAGAGAAAAGCGGCGCGAAAACCGTTTGATAACAGACACGACACAGCTCGTTGCTACGCGCGTTTTTTTACTATGGCATTCTTGTATTTTTGTTCCATTCCGAAAAAGGAAAACCAAAAATACAAAGTAATTGGTTATGTTAAATCTGCTGGACCGTTTTCGAAGATAGCAAAATAAAGAAATTGAAGAACGCATCCTGATCAATGACCACACACAAAAATGCTAGATATATTCTTCGTAACCGAATATTCAACGGTGACCAAGACGCCACATAGAAGATGACGAAGCGACGGGGAATGAGAATGGTCGAGTCGAATTACTTGACGAAGCAGAGCCGTAAGGGGCAGAATGTTGTAACCGACCGTCGCGCCACGCCGGGATAGAGACAACTGTGAGTCCTCCCCTGCCACTGACAGGGGGAGGGACGGAGGAGTAAAGGTGCGCAAACGGAGAACGCAGGAACAAAATATATATACGATATAACGAAACACAGAGCAAAGACGGAGTGATCGAGTAGCAAGCAAAAGGATCGAATCAAGAGATACAATTTTAAATAACAATCCAAGTCCAAATTCGTGTAAAAGGAACAGCGCATATTACAGAATCGGATATTAAACAGAGAAAAGGCCTCTTGTAAATAAATTCGTCTGAAACGAGCAAAGAGAAACAGAATAGGACATCATTCGCCGAATGAGTTCGATGTTTCGTTAGGTAGGATGCAAGAGGGTTCTGGCAAGCAAGCAAAGTCAAAGTTAAACCGAGACCAGGCGCGTGCTGGCAAAAGGAATATATATATATGCATATATGTATAGCGGTCGATCATAGATTTGCTGTCGCTGTGGTGCGTAGTCATTTCCTCGTGTGAAGGAAGAACATCGGGCCGCATCGGTCCCAGACGCACGTTCAAAAACCACTCGAGATCGCGGTATGTTAAAAGCCGTATTCCTCGTTCCCCTTGACTTTCGACTAAAGTAGTGATCTACGTTGAAACCGCAGACGCACCCGGGTCGCTTTCCAAAAGACCACGCGCCACTTAAAAAGCTTTCGACTCGACTTTCTTCTCCGTGTCCCCCCCTCCCCCTCCCCTCTCCGGGCTGTCCCTACTCCCTGCATCCCTCTATTCTGAGCTTATCCATCACTACACAAGCGGACGGGCGATCGAACGAATCTAGTCGCGGAAAGATGGGAACCGACGGGAAGCGAACAGAGGCGAAAATGATTGCGTTGTGGCGATGAGAAGCACGCGCACGTAATGAGAAAAACTGTTCCGTCTTTTTCATCTTTGTTCGTGCGAATATAGAGGGATCTGCGACGTTATACTCGCAACAAAAAAAAACAATCCGACTTGACCTTTTGAACTGGTCGAGTCCTTCGGCGAGATTGTAGCGTGTGATGCACTCGACGCGACCGTTATCGCGGCAACCGTCGTTATTACAATAACGCGGCGTAAAAATAACGATCCTCGGCAATTACACCGATCGCGAATCGCAAGTGGCCAGACTTTTTTATCGCATTAACAAATAAAACGAAACAAAACGACCAAACAACAATTTTCCATTCGGTGGTCGTTCCCGCATTAGCGCGAGCGAAATAACCAAGCGGTTCCAAGAAATCGTTTTCTTTCTTCGATAGATCGGGGTCATATCGCCGCCCCGAATCGCGTATGACGGCAACATCGTACGACGAGAAAATGTAGCGAAACACTTCGTCGATCGTATGATCTATCCATATGGAGAGTTCGATGCTAACTAAAATGCGTTCGCCGTTTGCCGTCGGAGTTATCTAAATTTTGCGGTCCCGGAACAACACGACTAAATACATAAAAGTATATTATCGTTCCTTCTGTATCGCGCGTAGACAAAACTAGATTGGAAGTGCGGCTGTTGTCTAGGTCAGGGTCGCATATCAATGCCTCTTTCGATACTGTGCACGACAATCAACCACATGGCACATGCTCGGCAAACGAATCATCCAAGCTAAAATTGTTCGCGCGGTGGCGTGGTCGATATTGGCAAGGATTTGCCGTCGCATCGCATCGCGTTTCGAATATTTCGCATTATTATATTCTATTTGTAATATTATTATATGGATATTTCAATTTTCCAGAAGATTTTCTTCGAAGCAAAAAGCCATTTTTCGATTTTCAAAAATCGTAAGGGAAGGCAGAAGCGAAAGCAAAAAAAAAGAGAAAAAAAAGCAAAAGTAAACATCTAGAAAGTATCGCGATTGTCCATGATTCGCGATGTTCGCGTGGAGACGGAACGAACCGTGTCATCGGTCACGCGTTGGCGACCCGTGCAACCGATAAAGCCCCGACTCGTCCGATAATCGGAGAATTTCGTACCATTGGTTACCATATGTACCTATCCCTTCATTGCGTGAACGCATGCGTTACGCACACGCGAACGTCAAGTATGTTTCCACTCCGCGTATTTTGCACGAAAGATAACGACACACACGAAGATAGACGAAGGGTGGCGAAGTTGCACGAAATTCTACTTTAATCGGAGTATAAATATAACATACATGCACGTATACACATGTATATGTTAGAACGGAACGAAACATTCTTTTTTGTTACTTTTTGTACGGTAATTTATATAACACTTTAATTTTTATTTTAAGAAACTAATATTTCTTTTTATATGATATTTTTTTGAATTTGAATTAGATTTTAAATAGATTAAAATAATTAATATATAATCATTTCGTAATAATTCTTAATTTATTTATTCATTTGATGTTAGTAGTATATTTTAGATATTCATATACTTGAAATACTTTTTAAATTGTTAGAAGAAGAAATTTTTATTCGTAATAAGAAAATAATTATACAATTTTGATTTTTTCGTTCCAGTTATTAAAAAAAAAAAAAAAATGAAACAGGATAAAAAATTAAGAAAAAGACTTAGAACTTCTCTTTTTTGATCGATCGATCTTTGACAAAAAAAAAAACGGAGGGAAAACTGTAACGCGATATTCTCCTTCGTAAACTTATAGGGACTTTATTTGGGCCACCGACATAGCACGAGCTCGGAAAATTTGTCACAATGCGACGACGCTCTCTCTTTTCTTCCCTTGTTCCTCGTTTTTTCTCGTTAACCATTCGACGAATTACGAAGAAGCAAGAGGAATCGAATCCTTTTCTCGTTATTTACGATCGCAATACGATCCAGCCAGTGCGTGTCACTGTTCCTTCGCGTTCCTTCAAAATCGTTCACAATTTATCGCTCTTCGAAACACATCCGTGGCTGGCGTAATGCGACACGGATCGTCCTTCGAGTATACTCGACCAAGATCGAAAAAATCTACATATCCGCGAAATTATTTGACTTGCATCTTTTTGCGAACGAGCGTTCACCGTGGAGAAACCGAAGAGTAAAGAAATAAAAACAAAATAAAAATAAAAATAAAAATAAAAAAACAAAAAAAAGAAAAAGAGAAAAATTAGAGCGTAAAGAATTTTTTAAATTTGCACGCCGATGGAATAAGGAATAATGGAGATAAATTAGTGACGCAAGCCGAATGTGCTTTTTTTCGTTCAATGATGCGCAACAAAATTATAATTAATAAAAGAAAAAAGGGAAGGAAGGAAGGAATAAAAAGGAAGCAAGAAGAATAAAAACGCAAGGCGCAATCTTAAAGGAAAAGGGGGATATACACGAAAAAAATAGAAAAAAAGTGAATGAATAATAAAAATAAAATATATACTTACTCGCGCTAAGACTAGCAGTAGCCGTGAGCTGATGCTGCGCAGGTGTCGACGGAGGGTTAACGGGTTGCCGCCTCGAAGGGGCAGCGTATTGGGTGGCCAGGGTGTCGTTCGAAGGCGAGCCATAGTTCCACGACGAGGGTTCTACAGTTCCAGCCCCGACTCCAGCATTGCTTTGCTGCGTCGGATAAGACGGACTGTATCCTCGAAAACTCGCCCTACCGCAAAACGGTTGCGAAAATCCTGGCAATGCCTGATGTGTCACCGTGCCTGTCGATTTGCTGCTAGCACCGTAATCTTCTGAAATGGCGGGAAGTCCTGTTCCTAGACCTGTACGATTCGAATAATGGATTAATCGATCGTCCCTTTTCTCTTTACGCGTTGTCATTCGGGTAACGCGAGATATGATCTCATAAAACACAAACGCACGAAACATTTACCTTGAGCGTTCCACAATTGCTGAGGCGAAGCAGTCAATTCTGTAGGGCTGCCGGTCATGTAAGGAAGGCCGTAAGTACCTCCTGTTCCTGCCGCGCTGGCTGCCGTCATACTACTGACATCGCTTATTGAACGATATAATGAACTGAAATAACGAACGAACTTGTAACGCAATTATAGAACGCATGAAACGGGTTCTGGTTCGATGGCTATGGGATATACTCGATGCACGCCCCTACTCTTGGGAATTAATCCGATCCGATCGAATTTAATTCGTTTTTCATTTCTTCGTACGTGAAGAGAAAGAAAGGAAGGAAAAGGGAAGGAGAGCACGGGAAAAAGGAAGTAGGGGAGAAGTAGGAAACGAAACCTCGGTGACACGGGTTCGATGATGTTTCGCGGGTGACCGGAAACTAGAAAACCGTTCTTCGATCCATCGGCCCGTAAATGCGGGCGCGTGCCAAGGCAGGACGTTTTTCGATGTTCCTTACCGACCAACGTCTACCCGAAACACAACTACTCCATTACCATTACCATCACCATTACGATGCTATTAAGGCTACCGTTACCATTAGCCCATTACCATCGGGACCCCTTCGTACCTGAGCTTTCGATCACTTTAGGAAATCGCATGCGTCTATCGGCTCTCTCCGAAGAAAGCTACCAAATACTGATCGTAAATGTTTGCGTTCCTTTTTTTTTTTTGCGAGAATAAGAAACACGGTTTATAGTCATAAATCTACGTAAACCAAAATTTCCGGTTGTCATATTCGTTGCGCAAATATTCGTGAATCCGAAATCCGCGTGACTCGTGAGCGTCGAGTCGTCACGATTTCGAGAGAAAAAAAAATCAAATGTATAAAAATAAAACATTAGCGCGCTCTTACCGTGTCACACGTATGTAAATACAAGCCCCGCTCCGCCCGATGTTCTTTCAGGACATAGTTGTGATCATGGATCGACGATCGAACGTGCATCTTTATCGCCGGGAAACGCGTTCGACGCATTGAACTTAACGAACGTGGCGGACACGTTGCGCGACGTAAAGCAAAGCAAAGAAACGCGCGACCTTGACGGTTTCCATGACTCGACCGACACGTACTGTTCGATCGGTACGTGCTCGCGAGACGATTCGCGTATTCTCCCGGAACGATTTCGAATGAAACTGGTTCGAACAACGGTATTCTCAGTAAAAGAAACACCGATAACAGAGCAACTTCGTCCTTCGGCCGTTCCAAGAGCATCGTTGTTCAATTTGTAAATTTCCTTTGAAAACCGAGAATGTAAAAAACGAATGTTTCAGATGTTTTGTTTTTCAGACTTCAAAGTCCGCGCGCGCGAGATGAGATCCTTTGATAATAGTCACTATGTCCGTCTCTTTTCAATTCGTCCAAGTTCGGCAAAGTTCGTCCGAATTCGTATAACCTAGTCAGAGTCAGAGCATAACCATTGTAAATTCTAACAAAAATTATGCATTCAATCTTGTATTCTTTTGTTCTTTAAACTCGATACGAGCCTGCCTCGAGGAGATCTGCGAATCTATGAAGAATGTGTACGAAGAAAAGAGTTCAGCTGTGTAACCAGGTTCGTCGCGAAGGAAGGAAGCGATACGCGCGCGAGCGCAGCACGTGTTACGAGCTAATTTCTACGACACGACACAGGGCACAATGTGCGGCACCCATGCGCATCGACGGGAAAAAACGTTGTTTCACGAGTTCATCGCGGATGCGCCTCGTTTCACGGACACGCGACAAACACCCTTACTTTTAAATCGTTTCGAATTATATATTCTAATCTAAACCTCTTCCCCGATCGAATCTCTTCTATCCAAACAGTTCGATCACATTTATCCTATCTTATTGTTTTACACCATTGAAAATCGAAACTAATAGACTGATCGGTCGATTTCAAATACGATTTCGAAGAAAATTGTTGGTCGACGATGACGCGATACGCAACCTGACCGGAAATCAAGACCACTCGGCTCCGTTAGTATACAACGCATACCGATTCTCCTCGAACCAGTGCGTAGGCAACGTTTGCCCACTTATATGTATACACACACCATGTACACAATGCGATGCGATGCGACGCGACGGCGACGTACACCACGACGATGCACACCCATGCCCGTCCCCGGAAACTTTAATAACTAAGCGGTCGGATTTCTTCCAGGAAACTTTCCTCCCAATCGTTACCGGTTGCCAACTCTACTAATCTAGATTTTACTCTCTCGCATTTTCGAAGCTTCGATCGATTCTTTATACGATTCTAAAGCGAACGATGCGATTCGCATGTGTACAATTCTTTCTCTCTAGTTAAAAGAGCAAGGAAAGAGTAAGGAAAGAAGATATTTTGGCCAGTTCGCGAAGAATGCAGATATCGCGAAACCCAATCTAGAAGGTCGGTAGCGACAGGGTTATAGCCCCTGTTACTGGATCGCTATCTGAATCCACCGACTCGATAAGCCGTTTCTCACGATATCGCGCATCACCGGTGGTGGGAAGAGATCCGAGATCCGAGGTAGCCGGCGTTGAAAAAAACCACGCAACGTCTGGCCATACCCCCTTTCCTCTATGAAGAAGAGATTTAGACAAGCAAAATTATAATTATTTTTGATATAAAATATTTCGCGAGAATTTGAGGGGGAAAAAAAAAAGTTTCATTTTCGATTCGAAGACGTTCAAGAAAATCGACAAGTATCAAGCCGTATGCCGCCATGACAACCACCTTCGACCCGAAGTCGAGTCGGCGTTAATATTTACGAGCTATGTTTTTGCAACTGTTATCAGTTTCCCATTTACTTTGTTTTCCAACATTTCGCGTTCGCGACGAAGCGCCGATAAAAATGAAACGACGTACGGACGGTAGAAAACCGAGAGGGGAAGGGAAGTCGCTTTCGTGGAGAGGCAAGTCTAAACGTGGCAGGATTAGTAACAAACGAATACGTGTATAAGTGCAATAGGTCAATGTGTAGGTATCATCGAGATTCGATCTTAAAAAACCGAATTTCAAATTGTAACTTCAATCTCGAGTGCGATATTACGTGAACTAAAATAGAAAATATAAATAACGATAAAATAATCGTAGATTGAAACGCGAATGTGACATATGCCACGAGGACATGACATACGTTTAATACATATACTATACTATTATATACTATATTGGTTTATCAAATTACTTATTCGAACGTTAAACGTTCTTATCCTGTAAATTTATTTACACCGCTACATTTTCAATCAACAAAATCGCTCGAAAGAAAAGTAAAAGTAAACCATAGATGCGTTAGTTGAAACATCAATTAATCGTAATCGAAACGTAACGTTCATCGAATACACTCACTGCATATTGTCGTTCCTGCTGACGTCCAAATGATCCTAAATTCTTTGCTTCCTCTCAACACCTTCTTTTTACACCTCAATTCCTTAGCCTGCACGATAAACTTGAATTCGTAAGGAAAACGCGGGAAATAGGAAACATTCACGGTTGATAGGAAGAGACAAGAAACAATGATTCAATGATTCTTTCACGGGACAGGAACGAACAATGTGAACGGAAAACGTAGAAGCGAATGGCGTTGGAGGACCTCCAAAGTGGTCAGGATTTCCCCTTCCGCGAATCTCTCCCTTCCTTCGTTTCTTTTCTACGTTCCTGTCCCCTCTCGTGATACCTCGATCCCGCCCTCGATTAACACTTCTCTCTCTTTCTTTCTTTCTTTCTCTCTCACACACATATACACACATACATTCTTTTCAACTTCACGCCACTACCCATACAGACTTTCCAAACTATATACCACCGATCCTGCGGTTTACGACCACCGACCATTGAGATTCACGCGTTCGTTTCTGCTCTCGTTCTTGCTCGCATTTCTAAACATTTATTTCTATTCATGATTGTTTATACTTTCGTAGCGATTAATCTAAATCTAATTTAAAAAGCTTAACGGTTATCATCGATGCTTGGCTGTCGAAGAGACTAGGAAAGAGACTATATATTACTTCAATCGAGACTATCGACATTTCTTCGACTATCGACATTTCTTTTCACTTTCACTTCGATCTGCGCGTCATCTCGTATCACTTATGCGTACTAATCCATGAAACGGTTACATCGATTTGCAACATTGAGAAAAAACACAAAAAAGAAAAAAAAAGAAAACTTAAAAATTATTCTTGTTTCGTCTTTTTTCCTTTCGATTCTACTCGCGTAGAACGCATCTAAAGTTTTTCCTCGAGTCTGTTACGTCACACGATACCTAAAGGTTTCTTGGAACGCGTTTCTGGGTTCGACTGTGGTGAACTGTAAACCGTGCGATGATTCACAACGACGAACTTTGCGTCAAGGATCAACAATTACCGTTTACACATCGCTTTCGTTCCCGCTTATACGACGAGTAACTTAGCAACATGCACTCGGTTAAACAGCAAACAAGTTCAAATAAACGGGGGGAGAAAGAGTAAAGAAAGGAAAGACGGGCGAGAACACACGAGACGTAGAGGTTACGAGATCACCGACAGTAAACGAGAAGACTTTGCGTCATCTCGGATCTTGGCGCGCTCGTAATCACGACAACAAGATACCCCGCAAAAAGAGAAACGAAAAGCAGATTATCCTCTGCACCCGAACTTTAGATATCTATAAATTCGAAGGTCGTGGCCCCTGCACGCGCAGACCGCATGAGGAAATCGACAAACACGAAAACCGGGCACGCAGGAGCGTAGATAGAAAAATTAAAAATCGAGCCCGCACGATTTTTCCAATTTCAAATGCTTCTATTCCGAATTCAAGAAATTCTATCGCCGTTCTACCCTCTCTTTGTTCTCGAACATCGCCCGATTATAAAATGCAACTACTTTAATCGACGCAGCTCTCGATAACGTTCCGTTTTCTCGCCGCGAGACACGGACAACGCATGATCGAAGAATCGTTTCCCTATCGGAGTCAATAAACTCTTATCACCGTAAAAAAGAACGACGAGCGCGTGTTCTGGTATGAATCGATTCTCGTCCCGACCACGATCAAGTTTTTCGTGGATCATGAGGGAAAAGTAGATTTTCCATCGATATAAGAATATTGAATATCAAAAAAAAAAAAAAAAAAGAAAGAAAAAAAGAAATACGAGAAACGGTCGATCCCTTTGTTGCGTTCTTATGTACGTGCTTACACATGCGACGGGATTTCGGGTATAAACCGATCGATGGTAGAGAACGTTTGGAGGACGTGCGGCTCGTGCCTGGACGAATCGGTAAACACCAAGGGATGTTGTTCATTTTCACGAAACTGTTAGCATAGGGCCGGAGAGGCGTCGCACTGTTTTCCATCCCCGGTTTAGCTTCATTTTTGGTTTTGTATCGCCTACGTATACAATACTTTGGGTGAACATCGAGCATTCCTTAAGCCGCCGTGTAAATACTGTTGCGAACGGTTAAAACCTTTCGGTGGATACGCGGCCTCTTACGATCACGCTCGGTCGCGCTTAGAACACACGATCGTAACGAATGAAGATGAGGGCGAGACGAGGAAAGTCTGTTTATGATTATCAAAGGATGAAAAAAAACAAACTCGACTCGATCTCTGGAAAACGACGATCGAATTACCTGGTAAGCGGTCCACTGGGCGAGTGAGGAGTCGACGATCCTGGCTCGTGCTCTTGATGATGATGAGGCGTTCCGACAGTGTGATGAGCGTATATCGAATCCATGTAAATCTGATCGGAGACTCGGTCGGTGTCCTGGCCAAGGCCGTGGTTCGACTGTACCGAGGAAGGTGGCTGCATAGCTGTCAAATGGGCGTACGACTGTCTCCCTTGTTCGCTCGGACTGTATCCACCCTCTGTCTGCCCTTGGCGATGAGGCGATGAAAGTTCTTGATCCTCGTGCGGACTACGACTGGAGCCCGGTGAGCTACCGGTTCGAAGCGCCGGTGAGCATCCACCACCGCCTCCACCTCCGCCGCTGCCGCTGCCACCGCTGCCTTCCGCACCGCTGCCACCTCCGCCTCCGCTGCCGCCGCCACCACCTCCTCCACTGTTACCATTACCGCCACCTCCTCCATTACCTCCGCCTCGCATTTGATGCTGAAGATACGCCGCGTCCGGCAAAACCTCCTCCAAGTGATGATGATTGTGATGATGATGGTGGTGGCGATTATGCTGTTGTTGATTATGTTGTTGGTGGCCATCGTTCCCACCGATCTCGCTAGCGGAACTGGTCGCACCGGTGCTCGCAAGATTTGGGAACAGCATACCGAGGTTGAAATCTCCACGGGCGCCGCTCATCGCTACCGCGATTCCACTCGTTCGCTCCACCACGTCCTCGTCCGGTTTTTGATGCGCCACCGATTGCGACTGCGACTGCGGCTGTGCCTCTTGTTCGTCCAAGTGACGATGGCTCGCCGAGGAGAGCGTACCGTGTTGTTGGGACGTGTCCGTTGACTGTAGATGCTGATGATGGTGCTGTTGATGGTGGTGGTGATGGTTGTTGTGGTGGTGGTGGTGGTGATGGTGGTGGTGGTTGTGATGATCGGCCGCGGTCGGCGAGAGCGCTTCAGTACCGTAACGATGCATCGTAGAGCAAGGCGCGTGACTGCCGGCCCGATTTTCCTCCGGCAATACGGAGACCTCGCTCGACGCTTCGTTATCCCCACCCTCGCCAGTCGATACTTCTCTCGCCCCCAGTTGAACGTACTCCGACTGATGGTGCTGTTGGTCGTGGTGATGGTCGCTGTGCTGATGGCGGTGGTAGTGCTGCTGCTGCTGCTGCTGCTGCTGCTGCTGCTGCTGGTGATGATGGTGGTGGTGGTGGTGGTGGTGGTGATGGTGGTGGTGGTGCGGCTGCTGACGCTGCTGTTGTTGGTGGTGATGGTGGTGGAGAGGTTGAGAAATCTGTTGCTGTTGTTGCTGAAGCTGCTGCTCCTCCTGCTTCGAGGAATCACCGCCTAAATCGCCGCCCCCGTACACGTTTGAGTCCTGATCGAGATAACCCCTTGACAACACGATAATTCGTTAAAATTTCCCTCTTTGCTCCGTTACTCCAGCTTTGCGCCGTTATTCGTTTCAATTTTTTTTTTTTTTTTACGCTCTCCTTGCTTCGAGATCAAGGGCGAATCTTTCGACGTAAATTCACTATTCCTATTCCACGCGAAATAATTCGTCGAAAAATCCGCAATCGAATGTATATATATGTATATATATATATATATGTATGTATATAGGTTAGGTATGTCGTATATATTGCTCACCTTTCTCGAACCAGAGGTTCCTGAGTGTTAAAGCCGAGCGAATGCACGCCGTAAGCGTCGTCTACGTCGTTTCCTTGTTCCGGTGAGACGGGGATTTCTACCGGTTCGGCGTCACTCGCCTCGGCGACCGCGCCATTTTCAATTTCCTGTTGTCCCGCCTCCAGCACGCCCACCATGTCCCCGCCCTCTTCGCTTCCATGCTTTTCATAAGGTAGTTGGTAAAGTTGGTGGCGTTGCCGTTGTTGTTGTTGTTGTTGTTGTTGTTGCTTCTGTTGTTGCCCCAACTGTGTTTCCTGCCGAAAAAGCACCACATCCCCGCTATCCGTCTCTAACAATCCTATCGATCCTCCATCGTTGTTCGATTCCTCGATACTCTCACCGATCAGTTTCACGGATCTCTCCGTTCCTTTCTCGTATCCCGTCATTTCGTCCACGCATTCGGCCAATTCTGTGAACGTTAAAAATAAAAATAAAAATAAAAGGAAAAAAAGAAAAATATATCGAAACGAGTTCGATCGACGTGAATTCCTTCATTCATCGGTGGACGACGATAAAGGAGCTGGAATTTCCTTGTAACATCGAGTTTCGCGAAATGTTATGCATTACATCACAGTTCCAAGTTCCATTCGTGTCGTGTAGGGAAATCGACGAAACGTGATCGATCGATCCGATCGTAAATATCATGGTCAATGCGTTTCGATGACACGAGCAAACTGTTGCTAACCGGTACGTTACAGAAATAACTAATTGTCCTTATCTATAACTCGTTACCAATCGTACAAACTCGCGCGCATTTTCTTCGTTCAAAGTTTTTTTTTTTACTATTTATAATACTCGCATTGTGTCTTTATATTTTTCAGGTTGAAAGAGGAGATTGGGGACGAGCAGAGTTGAGAAATATTGGAAAAAGAAGGACAGTTTCGCAACGACGAGACGAAAGATAAAGAGAGAAAATTGATATTTCATTTTTCTTTTTTTCTTTTTTGGATAATAAATATGAATGGTGGACTTGGATTTCTTTTCTTTCGCCTCATTCGACGTTCGTTTTTTTATTTCCCTTGCGATCGATTCCGAAACGAAAAAAAGTGCGTTTACCTGGATTCTCTGCGGAGTTTCATCTTATCGGGGCATCTTATCGAACGATGCACACGCATCGTCTCGCACCTCTAATCTCGTAATATCGATTAAAAAGGAGAATCGAGAAATAATAAAAAAAAAAAAAATATATGCGAGAGATTGAAAAAAAATTATAGAAAAAAAAAAAAAGAAATATTACGTAGGAAGAAAGGCGGAACGACACGATACAGATAAGAATTAGACAAACGGTAAAATTTGTACAAGCTCGATTTGCATAGACGATTAAAATGGCCACGTCGTAGACCGACGCTCATCGATCGAAACGCATTTTTATACGATATTTTTCTCCCAACGAAACATTGTATCAATCAGTATTTAACATTCAGCCGACCTTATTGACATTACCTAATCGAATTGGAAAGGTCAGGCTCATCGATTTATCTAACGTTTTTTTTCATTCTACCGCGAGCACGGCTTAAATATAGGTAGGCACGATCAACCCTTTCATTGAAAATAACAGTTTCGATAAAATATAAGGATTTGTGCAAAAATTGGAACAAATCCTTCCCTGAATGTTACCATGACAATATTTTTGTTGATTCGTTTCATCTGATTCGTTAGGTTAGTTTCGGATACAAGACAAGACGAATTAACCTACGTGTTACGATATATATTTTCTTTCGTTGAAAGTTCGATTATCGAATCGAATCGTATCGATTAAACTCGTGCCTTTGAATCGAGACTTCATGGAAGCGAGCAAGTGAATAAAGTGAGTGGAAGTCACGATTTCGATTAATCACTCGAACGATGAAAATCGCAGTCGATGTTAAACGAAGCAACGAGAAATCTCTTTCTCGCTCGCGTTGCGAAATCGAGCCGTACCATCGAAACATGTATCTCGCTCTCTTTCTACCTCGCTCGTAAAACATAGCCATACGGATTCAATGTCGTTGTTATCGGGATGTAACGCGCATACCGAAAATTAAATCGATTTCTTCTCCCACTTCTATTCTCCTTCATCTCTCTCTCTCTCTCTCTCTCTCTCTCTCTCTCTCTCTCTCTCTCTTTTTCTTCTTAATTTTTTTTCTCCCTGTTTTCTCTACGCTCTACGCTCTAAATAATATTACATGTACCTTCAACTTTCCTTAGATGGTGGATACGTTTTTTATTATTATTATTATTCGTGACTATCCTTTTTATCGTTTCTTAAAGATTCGACAACTAATATTCTTTAGATTAACAAGTTTATAAGCAAGAATATAGGAAATAATTTTGAAAATTCAGGAGAATGATAATATTTCCTTTCTTCGATCGTTCTCTATGAGGAAAAAAATATATATATGACTTGTGCGTTTTACTAGCTATTCGAAAATTGTAAAAAACTTTTACTGATTTTTCTCGAACGAACCCACCAAGTATCTGTAATCGTAATTTTCCGTTTTTCGTCACGGTTCTTACAATGCTGCCGGCCAAAAAGAACGAGGTTAACGTTCCCCCATAGAAGTGGTAGCGAGGGAAGAGATCCCGATTCGTCGGCCGAGCGGAAGACGTTTTGTACAACGGGGGCAGAGGTTGCTCTTATCTTCTTGGCCCCATAAAAACGTTTACTGTTATCCGCAACGTACTATACGACCAAGACGGCCGCGCATCGATGCGGCTTACGACGAGATTTTCAGAGATTGAATAGTCTCTTTATCTCGACCTTCTCGATCCTCTCCCCATTCCTATCCCACTTCTCCACCAAGCCTCTTGCTTCAACCGATCTTTTTTTTATTCCGATTCCTTTTATTCCAATTATCCACTTTATTCCGACTTTTTTCCTTTCCTTTTCTTTTCTTTTCTTTTTTTTTTTTTTTTTTTTTTCATTTCTTGATCTATAAACGCAACGAGGAATCTTGCATTCTATACGTGAAAATAGAAATGCAAAATTGAAATTTGATTTTTTTTATCCTATATCTTATATTTAATTGAATATTCTACTCGTTTAGATTTAGATCTCGAATATTTTTTTACAAGTAAAATTAAATAAAATTTTGTAAATACGCCTTTTTAATTGTTCAGGATCGACATATACTAATATTCGTTCCATCCAAGTCGAAATCGGTTTTCACTCGTTATTAATAATTTTTTGGAATAAAAAGTTGATGAAAAATATTTAAAAAAGTCTAAAAATATGAAAAAAAAAAAAAAAAAAAATTGGTTCTCGAATAGTTCAAGTAAGCGACTATAGAGAAAATAGTATGGACTTAAATACGATGCTAATACTAATGCATTTGAAACGGCTCTTAAATCGCAGACTGCGCGTTTCTCCGCTGATATTCTTGTCATAGAACAGTCGCGCCATTGTAGAAAGACCAAATATTCTCTGAAGATCTCGGAGATTCCGCCGAGTTTTACGTTTCACGTATAAACGGCTCGACGATACTTCCTGCCTCGTACCGTGATCAAGAAATCGTCGAAAAATTTTTATCAATCTTCCTTCCCTTTCCAGTCTCTCCCCAACTTTTCGTCCTAATTTCTAACTCGAAATTAAGAGAAGAACGGTAAATACAAGCGGTATAATACAAAGAGACGGCGAGGCCAAATTACGGCAAAGTACCTCTGCGGGTTGATAGAACGCGATACGTCCTAACTCTGATAAGACGATATGAGCCGGCACGCGACCACGGCACACGACTGAAACGGCACGACAATTCCGTGAAACGACAATTTTTTCGATATCGAGGTATTGGGGAAAAAAAAAAAAAAAAAAAAAAAAAAAAAAAAAAAAAATATCGATGCACGATTATCGAATTCGATTATTTCGAAGCCGAGCGAAACAACATTTCGATTTCGAGAATGTCGAGGATTCCCGCGATGTGGAATCAGGAAGGAGGCGGCATCGAAAACTTGATGAACGAGAGGGCCAGAGGGAGGAGATCGAGGGCGGTCGGTAACCCTTGTTTATCTCGCCGGTTCTTCGTTTCTCTATCTCGAAACTCGCTAAAAAAAAATATGAACTTCTAATTGAGTCGTAGAAATTTACTGTTAGTGACTGTATCGATCTGTGATCTATCTTAGATCTTGTTTCAAATAAATAAATAAATAATAATAATAATAATACATTTCATCGTTTGTTTTTCGCCGTAATATATATAAAGATCGTAAATATATAATCAATATTGTATTGCGATGTATACCTAGAACATTTAAAATCGAACCGAATTTAAAAAATTTATAGGGAAAGATTATTTATATAATTCATCTTATAATGGATTGTTTCAAATAAATAAATAATAATAATACATTTCATCGTTTGTTTTTCGCCGTAATATATATAAAGATCGTAAATATATAATCAATATTGTATTGCGATGTATATAGAACATTTAAAATCGAACCGAATTTAAAAAATTTATAGGGAGAGATAATTTGTATAATCCATCTTACAATGGATTGTTTTAAATAAATAAATAATAATAATACATTTCATCGTTTGTTTTTCGCCGTAATATATATAAAGATCGTAAATATATAATCAATATTGTATTGCGATGTATATCTAGAACATTTAAAATCGAACGGTTTTATAAAAATTTGTAAGAAGGGATTATTTGTATATAATGAGTATTGATTTGTATAATTCATCTTAATAATAGATTGTTTCAAATAAAAAATAAATAAATGAAATATAATAATAAGAAATGTTTCATCGTTTGTTCTTCGTCATAATATAATATAATAAATATATATCCAATTGTATGTATATAAATATAGAACTGCGTATGAAAGAGCGTGAGTAAGGTTGACGACGTGCACGACTAAGAATAATAATCTCAAACGCAAAATGCGGAAAGAGATGAAGAATCGGTGAAAGAAAGGGAGGAAGGGACGAAGGTAAGAAAACAAATATTCAAACGGGACGCTTACCTTCGAAAGAAGAGAAAGAATAGAAAAGAAACCGTGGGCCGCGGTTAGGGTCATTAGCAACATCTTAAACCAGGAAACAATACCGACCATTTTTAGGTCGATAGAAAAGAAAAAGGACGATGCAAGGGAACGAAGAGAAAAATTTATACACGGTATATAAATTTGTACGATATCATAAATAGCAATTGGACGATCGAGAGTGACGGTCGAAATTTAACAGAAGAAAAAAAAAAAGAGGAAAAAAATTGAAATTTAAAATCTACACGTATATCGGAATATATTGGAATTAGACAAATCCGTTCGAAACTATTCCGACGGCCGCGAGAATTCTAAGTATCGAATTTCTGTCATGTTTTTTACCAACACAGTCGGACACGGTTCTATCCCCTTCCCCTCCCCTCTCCGGTCTAGGATTCGTTCGGCTCCATTAACTTTCTAACCAGCCACTTTCGAACTGGAAGAAAAAAAGATCTATGAATCTTGAGAGCTGCCAATTATCGATACTTTGGCAAAGTACGTGTATATAGTCTAAAAAAATGAGGTAGCTGTATAAACTATCTTCCTATTTAGAAGAAAAATGTATATAACAAGAAAAATAAAAGGATATTTAAGAAAAAAAAATTTGAACGACAAACACGATAAAGTTTTAAATATATAAATAATATTTAACGATTCAGAAGGAAAATCGTAAGATATATAAATATCGTACAAGTGTATATATCACATATGTGTGTGTGTGTATATGTATAAATATATTGTAGTTTAAATATTATTAAGTCCAAAGTAGCAATAAAACTCGAATGTCTTGTCCACGTACCCTTCAAGATTCACGTAACTTCGTTTCCATTGCTCTCGTGAGACGTGTCAGCCGTCACGAGCCGCGAAACAACGAAACACAGACTGCGTGGCGTAACATGAGAAGGGATCGCGTTATGGGACATATTTTCCTCCTTTCTTTTACCCTAAGTAAAAGCACACTCGTCCTACGATTTTTTTCGAATTCCAAAAAAAATATGGTTAAGCGCCACCTCGATGAAAATATCACGTTCAAAGCGTTCTTATGATTGCGATACGATATATTTTAATTCTGTAACAAAAGTAAATTTTTATCAACGAATCGTAGATTCGTAGATATTATTTTTTTTTTTGGACGAAAAAATTATCAATCGAAAATATGGTTCGTTATTATTACTTGTATGTAATATCAAGAAATGTTGTTTATTTTATCGTAATAATATTATAAATAAATAAGATTCGTTTTTAATTGAGGTCGTTTTTAACGATTGAAGTCAAGTATTCGAAGGGAAGATGAAA